ATATATATATATATGCATCATATATAAAAGTGTGCATGTGAGACTAGTTGGGCGTGTGCGTGAGTGTGTGTATGCTCGTGCACGCGCACGTACGTGAGTGACTAGGGGATGCAGGCGTCGTATGCAGGTGTTGTGAGTGTTTGCGTTCGGACATTTGTGTGTGTGTGAGTGTGTACCTGTGTGAGTGCATCTGTGTGTGTGAGCGTGTTTGTTTGTGAGCGTGCGTGAGTGTGTGTGTGTGTGTGTGTGTGTGTGTGTATGTGAGTGTGTGTGTGTGTGTGTATGTGAGTGTGTGCCTGTGTGAGTGTGTGCATGTGTGAGTGCATTTGATGTGTGTGAGCGTGTCTGTCTGTGTGTGTGTGTGTGTGTGCGTGAGATCAACCCTAGCACAGTTTCAAATGAATCCTCTGGGGAATATCATCGCGGCCGAGATCATACAACACAACATGAGGAAGGAGGTGAGGTAGGGGCGGGGAGATTTGTAAACCCGCAATGCACACGATACAGTCATGTGTGTGAATGCTTAGTTTTAGTAAGAGTTTTACGGCACTTGCAACTCAATAGGTCATGGTCGCTTTTAAAGCGCAAGGGGGCTATCCCCAAAAAAGCTGTTTTGAGAAAATCGAAGGTAACGTTTTTGTCCCTTGTTCAGTTTCTTTATAAGACAATGAGAGCTTTCTCTATAACCCAACAAATATACACACCAATGAAACCAAACTTCTCAGCCTATAAGTAGAGCAATGACCACTTATGGTGTAGGTCAAGATTTCTTGAAACCCTCGAATCTGGGTTAGCCCGCTTGTCTTTAAAAGCGACCATATAAGTATAAGTGCCGAGGATTAGGTGTTAAAAGAGAGTAACAAACGCACAAAAAAGAAGAAGGGTAGATAACGATGATAGATGTTGGACAGGAAAGAGGAAGCAAACCACACCAGAGCACCCGCCAACCACCCACATGTGCGTGAATACATGAGGAAAAAAAACTAACTAAAATATGTTACACTTCATCTTAGAAGAAATAAAAAGCTGGAGGGGGAGGGGGGGGAGAATTCTGATACGTGTACAAATACACGTATATTATTTTATAGAATTTACTAGCATCTGCTTCGGAAAGGAAATAGATCACCCAAGAGGTGTGACAGTGACAGGGCCCTGAGACAGGAAACGTGGCCAACACCAGGAGGTTACAGTAGATCCTTGGGTCAACCCCACTGCTGACTGACACTACAACAAGAGAAGCTATACAGTATACGGGCCGACATTAGTTTTAGTTTCAGTAGAGGTTTTACGGCACTCACTCGCAACTGCGTAGGGTCATATTCATATGAGCGCCAGAAGATTCGAGGTGTTACAAGAGAGTAACAAACATAAAAAAGAAGGAGGGGAGATAAGGACGATAGATGTTCGATAGGAAATAAAAAGCCGATGGATGAACTGCGCAGGACGGCCCAATATGACAGGTACCGGTACTGGACTTTTAAGTGTAATGCGATTGAGAAAAGAAGAAAAGACACCATATTAAGAAGTGCAGAATTTCATATTATAGCGTTGAAACATAACGTGTGTGTGCATGCGTGCGTGCA